TTTACTTAGTTGACGATAACTTGCATATTTATGTTCTTGTAATTCTTTATGTTTACGTGGTCGCCCAATATTAATTGAGGAAGACGTTCCTCTTCCTAAATGTAGATTACGTCGACGAGAGACAGATGTAGGCTGAACACGATTTTGTTTCCTCTTCTTTTAACTGTATATACATTAGTTGAAGAAGTGCTCTCTAAAAAGAACAAAAGATTTGATAACCTTTTTAAATAAATAATTATTAAGGAAGATACCATTTAATCATTTACCAAAACAATATAGTGATGAAATTAAATTAGCATCTGTCTTTATTTGTTTGTATTTGTTTGAAAAGGCTTGTATAGCTGGCAAATAAATATCTGGCTTTTCTTTTGATTTGTTCAGCAAATCATTAAAAATATTTTTTAAATTTTCTTCAGCTTCTAGTATTGTCTGAAAAAATAATTGTTTTTTTATCTTCAACACACTGTAATACACAGATACATAGATATGTATAAAAAATTACCATTTGGGCCTCTTGTTTTGGAATTTCATCAACAATATCCACTTGCATGTCATCATCATCACCAAAACAAGTATTGTCAAGTATATTTTGATTGCTTTCATCATTTGAAATATAACTATTATCCATGTTTCCTGATTTACTAGCAGAAATTGTCAATTTGTTACAACTGCCTTCTTGCTAAAATTATTAAATATGAATAAAAATTGTGTAATTGTTAAATTATACCTTAATCTGTGTCCTTAATGAATGAAAAAACTCTTTTTCCATTTCCTTGCCAGTTGCAATGTAATATAAATATTGTTTTTGTTTTGGATCATTTAACGGCATTATATTTTGGTTGGTTACATTCATAAACTTAGCAACAGCTACTTGGTGTTTACAAAGTCTGCCATCATTTCCTATAGGACATTCACAATGAGCAAGGTCCATATTAACAGAATACCTCTTGTTGCTACTTTTTTTACTAGGAACAGAATAGATGTTGTTCTCTACCTATAAAATGGCATTATGGATTATACTATCTATTATAAAAAAACCATTTTAGCAAACCTTAATAATTTTGTCTTTTGCAAATTCAACATTATTATCCAGAAATGCCAATTTGCAAAGTGAAGTGCTTGTTAATCTATTGAATGCAACTTTAGGTATTTTTTGCTCAAAATATAGATCTAAACGACTTATAACAAAATCTGCAACCTACAAAAAAGTAATACAATCATAATTTTAAACCTTTAGGTATTTAATTCACATAATATACCTGAACAATATTGTATGCTTTTACTCTTTGAAGTATATAGTCTTTCATTATCATCATAGCTGATTCACAGATGTTATTCGTATTATTTCCTCGAACTAGCAATTTATTCCTATAACATAAGGCCCATTCAGTTCGACGGTTCACATATGACTCTATATGTTTCAAATAATTAGGATACTTTTTTGCACAAGCGTCATTTAATAAACCCTGGTAAAGATTTTCCAATTGTTCCTCAGTAGGTGCACACATAATTACTTTAAATAAATTAAGCAGGTGACTACGATCATTTAACTCAATAGCATGCTTTTTATCAAACAACCATCTCCACAGTGCCTTAAACAATAGATAGTAATACCTTCCTTAAACCTTCGACTAGTTTACCTGTAGCACATGAAAGGTGCAAAGTAAGACAGCAGCTTTGGGCCAGACTTGTCTCAGAGCATTTCTTTCCGCTGTACAATCATCAGTCATAAATGTTAAAGGACCAATTAAATTAGACCTTCCTCCAAAAGCCAATTTGGGAAGTAATTCCTTAAAATTAAAGTATTGTTATAAAGCAACTTTAGATGTTAATTTTTTTCATTACCTGTATGGCCTTAAAAGCACCAGCGAATATATTCTGATTTTCAGAAGTTGCCAGCACAACTGCCAAAGGTACACCACCTGCATGACATCTTCCTAGCAATATAAAAAATCTAGTGCCATCTCGATCTACACCTCCACTAGAATCTATAAAGCAAGATTCTCCTAATTCAGGCATTAAAGAAATACGTAGCATCATTTTAGTGACCAATACAATGGCTACCTGTAAAATGTTGACTTAAAAAATCATTTGGTAAAATTAAATATTTAAAATGTTCCCACAACTCCTTTAATAGTTATTAGAATTTTATTGAGATATATATCTTTTTATGAAGTTGAGAATAAAATTATCAAAGTAAAATAGATACCTACCTGATCCCCATCTTCAACAATTTTACAACAGCAGTCCTTTTCTAAAGCTAATTTTTCAATTAGGTCTGCTTGTTTAATGTTACTTAAACTGCTGCTTCCATAATTAGAATTTGCTACTTTTTTGTGAAGACGATAGACCCATTGATAGTTTGGACTCAAACTATTGTCAGAAAGAATTACTTCATAACCATCTGGGTTTTCTAAAATTATGTCTAAATTATGAGCTTGAATGCTTGAAGCTGGGGTATGTCCACTCTGAAAAAGTTTTAAGAACTTTTCTTCAACTACTTTAGATGGCTTTCGAAACCTTAATGAATCAGCAGCCAGAATTGGATGATTATGGTTAAATCGAACTGTAATCAAAGTATATGTAATAAGGCAATCCAACAAAGGCCTTGTTTTTTTCATTTGAATCTTTGCAGGACATTGTGTATTTTTTGACCCATATTTAAAATTTTCTTTATCAGGCAACTTTCCATATGTGTTATGATGACAGGTAGCATATATACTTCTCTCATATAACTGTCCCTTACAGGACTTATTTCTAATCTACAAAATTAGAATATATAATTTAACATGTTGATATTACTGTGTATGTATATATACATATACATATATATATGTAATTGTATACTTTTGTTAAACATATTGATTATATTATATATTGCATACACACCGTGTAATTTGTTTTAGTTATATTTTAAAACTCTTTTAACCAGGTTTCAAAATCTTTTGCTTCACATTCGACTTTGATTTCAAAACTTAAATTCTGTCCAATATCATTTACCGTTGTTATAGTTGTGGGAAAAGTTAGGGGCAACATCTGTAAATACAATAGGTAGGTATACCTTATATATGCTTTTTATATGATAGTTTTGTCATAGATATTAACATAAGAAGAACACAAGTATTTAATTTATGAAGGGAATACCTATAATTATTTAGTTTATATTGATGTAAATAAAGTTTCTGTCTGCAAGAATGTTAAATATTTAAAAGCATATTAACTTCTTACGATAAAGAATTCAATATTAAATTGTTTAACATAACACTTACCTCTTGAATTCCATCTTTATCCATAATTACTAATAAAACAACAAAAACTTTGTAATAAAATAACAAAAACTTTGTAAACGAAAAACTTCTTGGGTTAGGAATAACCAGAATGACAGAGTAACTGTCAATTGGGCTATGAAATGCGCAGGCGGGAATCACCAGGACTCGTCAGGCGGTGGGACTCGGGCGGACGCTTAAGAAAAACATTTCTGCGCGCGGTGGCGAATCCTAAGAAATATGATTAGTTGTAAAGTGGACAATGTGGACACTATTGTAAAAGCTTGTGTGGTGCTACACAATTTTTGTAAGGCGAAGGGAATTTGTAGGAATTCGCGAGCCTCCTATTGTAACCAATTATTTTATGTCGCCCACAGGGCAGTTACCATGGCAAATGGATAGGGTATTGCAGGGTACTGAACCGCAGGGCTAGCCCTTGGAAATATGTTTATTGTAGTTTATAAATATTTTTGGTGTAGTTTTTTAAATATTTTTAGTGTAGTTTATAAATATTTTTTCTAAATAAAAAATAAATATTTTTAGTGTAGTTTATAAATATTTTTTCTAAATAAAAAAATAAATATTTTTAGTGTAGTTTATAAATATTTTTTCTAAAGAAAGTAAATAAACATTAACTTGTAAATATGTCTACATTATTACTAAGGACCTTTCCATATATTACATCAAAAACCCCCCCCCCCTTTCCTCTTATCATTATCATTATCACCTACCAACCTCAACCCGATTCCCCGGATATAGTGAAGCCAACCATTTTCCCCGAAGATAACCAAGAGGCATTCGAAACCATCAGGAACCATTGGAATACAGAGAGCAGAGACTCCAAAGCCAAAAAGACCTCGATGCTTGCCTACTTGAACCTAATACAAGACTCATACCAAGAACTATTGGACAGGCCCAGCCAAACAGTCCCCATGGATGTTTTGGAGGACATGCTGGACTCCAAACTCAGCCAAATTAGACAAAGCCAAGCGACACCTGAGGACACTTCCTATGCCGGGAAAGCTGCCACCCGGACCACGGTCAATCTCCCAACGGGCAAGGCCGTGCCCACAAAGAACTCCTCAGTTGTTCTGGTATACCCGGACAACTAAAATGAGCAAACTAAAGATTACACCTCACACCAAACTAGAACCGTAATCACCTCCATATGTATTAAGGCCTAGACAAACAGGCCTAAAGATTGATAAAGTAAACAAACTGCCAGCAGGCGGCCTACGTCTGGAGTCAAACAAATCAGACCTAAGCACTTTAAGTGTCCAGGCTTTGAAGGAAAAGGGCCTGGTGCTTAAGGTGCCCACTAAGCGGCCCCCAAGATTGGCCATCTACGACGTTCCATCCTCTCTCGATGCAGACGAGGTTGAGGAAGCAATTATTGCCCAAAACTCAGAAGGGCTAACTGAGGACGAGCAAGACATCCTCAAAGACGGTGTCCTTGTAAAATTTAAATTCTGACCAAGGGACTCCAGTACTGTTCATTGGATAATGCAAACAACCCCAAAAATAACCACTTATACATCGGCATGAGCAGATCCGACCATATCATGGTGACAAGATGTCACAACTGCCAACAGTACGGGCATATGTCCGCGTCCTGCAGAAACAAAAATCCTTCGTGTGCACATTGTGCAAAGCAGCATATCACGGACAGATGTCCTATTAAAAACTAGCCACCATCATGTATAAACTGCATAAATTCAGGACACAAGGACGAACATGCAGCCCATGAAGCATCCAGCACAAATTGCCAGGTCTATAAAAGAAAACTAGCAGAATCCGTCGAAAACACACTTTTTGACTAACAGACTACTCAGATACGCACAGATCAACCTAAACCACTCCAGGCTTGCCACACGCGAGCTGCTTGCTCTCATAACACAAGAAAGACTTGATGCAATTCTAGTCCAGGAGCCTTACTGCATCCGCACGACTGACAACCGCTACAAGATTCCCGGATTGGGACAACACATAAAACAAGCTCACGTCAACACACAAACCAGGCCACTGGCTTCGGTGATACTCATTAATAGGGCCAGAGATGCCCTGTTTCTTCCTCAATACTCATCACCTAACGTCTCTACAATTAAATTTGCCAAACAAATCAATGCGATGGACCCAACACCCTAGTATGGTCCACCAATCAAACATGAAACAGACCACCAGAAGACACCAACAACACAACCCAGAACAATGTTACCAAAACTCCTACAATAGCAACTTCCAGAACGCAGAGGTAAAGCGAAAGCAGGTATTCTGCATAACGACTCCTGCCCTTCACTGAATACAGCCGCTCAGCTTTTTGGCCAAGATAAAGACATGACGACCGTAGAATGGGACAACGGGGATGGAGGAGGATATGTCATGTATGCAAAGTAAAGGGTATTAATTAAAAAAGTTGTAAAAACGTTAATTTTAAAACATTAAAACACCCGTAAAATTTGTATAACGTCAAATTACGAAATAATATCGCGACCTGAGTCAAAAATTTATAGAATAGGTTATACTAAACGGCGAAGAATAGAAAACAATTATGTAAACATTCAATTTTCTTAGTTTCTTTAAGAAACTTTCTTGACCCATTACTGGTAATATTCATAAGAAAAAATTGAACCTACACCTCGCCAAAGTTTTTTGTTTTGAATGCGTTCCACCCACTTCAAATACCGACAGACAGCTGTTTCGACCTTTATTGGGTCTCATCAGTGTCAGGCAACTTGGTGTAGTGGAACACAATCAAAACAAATTACTCCCTGAGCTTATATGCTCGGTTGTTAAGTCAACAGAGGCGAGATGTAAGAACATCAGGTGATCCACACCGTCAAACGACGTGGCCTTTGACGCAATCGGTACATACTATGCAACCGGGACTGCACACAGCAATTGTATCACAGATACTAATATGGCCTAAAGGAATCTAGAATTAACCCAACCGGGCTAAACATTAAGGTAAACATTCAATTTTTTTAGTTTCTTTAAGAAACTTTCTTGACCCATCACTGGTAATATTCATAAGAAAAAATTGAACCTACACCTCGCCAAAGTTTTTTGTTTTGAATGCGTTCCACCAACTTCAAATACCAACAGACAACTGTTTCGATCTTTATTGGGTCTCATCAGTGACGGGCAACTTGGTGTAGTGGAACACAATCAAAACAAATTACTCCCTGAGCTTATATGCTCGGTTGTTAAGTCAACATAGGCGAGATGTAAGAACATCAGGTGATCCACACCGTCAAACGACGTGGCCTTTGCCGCAATCGGTACATACTATGCAACCGGGACTGCACACAGCAATTGTATCACAGATACTAATATGGCCTAAAGGAATCTAGAATTAACCCAACCGGGCTAAACATTAAGGTAAACATTAAATTTTCTTAGATTCTTTAAGAAACTTTCTTGACCCATCACTGGTAATATCCATAAGAAAAAATTGAACCTACACCTCGCCAAAGTTTTTTGTTTTGAATGCGTTCCACCAACTTCAAATACCGACAGACAGCTGTTTCAACCTTTATTGGGTCTCATCAGTGTCGGGCAACTTGGTGTAGTGGAACACAATCAAAACAAATTACTCCCTGAGCTTATATGCTAGGTTGTTAAGTCAACAGAGGCGAGATGTAAGAACATCAGGTGATTTTAGTTTGTTGATGTGATGTTTACATTCTGCAGGTGTGAACTCTTTGTTGCAGGGTTGGAAAAAACCCGGGTTTTTTAAATAAAACCCAACCCACTGGGCTTTTTTGGGTTTTTTAAGTGGGTTTTATTGGGTTTTTTATTTATTTTTATTTTTTTCTTAATTTTAGTGAAAAAACAACTTTTAAAAAGAAATTGTTGATAAAAAAAATTCAGGTATTTTCACTACCTTCTTTACGACTTATTTTCGCGGTCGTTCGTCAACTATAAAATGGGAATTAGGTGGAATATAGATCGGCAAGGGAAACCCCCGAACTTTAAAATTACGCTTTGTTTGATCGTTTCTTTGTATCATGATATTACATAATAATTTTTATTACCTCATGCAAATTAATAAATAAAATTTAAAAATAATTATCATTTTACTGTATTAATTATTCATAAAGTAATTTATTAAAGCAATTTGACTGTTTTTAAGATAATATTATCAAAAAATATTAAATATTAATATTAAATTCAAGAAAAATTATTAGTAAACGTTCCAATCAAGACTTTTTACTATGAGTTTATATGGATGGCCACTAGCCCTCTCTTCGCTATCTCTCTCACCGGCCGCAGTGCGGTGCGTTGGATTACCATCTTATGTAGTATCATGCTTTGTTACAAAGCCTTTGTATTCTGATATATCAAACCAGTTTTAGTTTGACCAGCGCTTTATGCGGGTGTTCTTGTGTTTAATATAAACAAACCAAATACGTAAGGACATTAAATTAAAGAAAATTAATTTGAGTATTTAAAAATGATACGTTTATTAAAATGTAAGTACGTTAGTTAGCATGATTTAAATTATTAAATTTCTTCAAGATTTTTAATTATAAACCTTTTTTTAAGAAAGATGCCTAAGGGTAGCGGTAGGAAGAGTTCTACAGAATGGACCGAAGTTTTAGAATCCCGTAGTAAAAGTAGAGTCGTTTGCAAATACTGTCAAAAAGAAATTAGCAAAAAAGTTGAGAGAGTAAGAAGTCATTTAAATAAATGTAAAAACAAAGGTGCGAGTACAAGCAAGAAAAATGTAGAAGATGTAGAAAGCATGAGCATCAGCAGCGATGATGAAGATCGGGAATTAGAACATGAAAACAAAAGTAAACAAGAAAATGGAGAGAACTTGGCCACGTTAGCGAAAAATAAGAATTTAGACGAGTTTGTGATAAAAACCACTGTTGAACAAAAAGAAAAAATAGACAAAATGGTAGCAAAATTTTTCTTTGGTTGCAACATTGCATTTAATGTTGCAGAACAAAAAACATTTAAAGAAATGATATCTGTACTTCGCCCAGGGTATATTGCTCCTAATAGAAAGCAATTATCCGAAAAATATCTTCCACAAATTTGCACAGATATAGAAAGTTTATTAAAAAAAGAATTGGAATATACTAGTGTAACTTTAATTTTAGACGGGTGGTCAAACACATCCAACGATGCGATTATTGCGAGTTCCATACACACAGGCCATGGCGTGTATTTAATAGATGCTGAGGATGCTGGAACTAAAAAAAAGACGTCTGAGTACTGTGTTGAAGTTGCTAATCGAGCTATAGACCTTATAAAAGAATTGTATGGTAAGACTGTATTTGCATGTTGCACAGATAATGAGAATAAAATGAAGAGAATGAAGCAAATTTTAAGTGAAACAAAAGGAATTGTTACATATGGCTGTTCGGCTCATTACATGAACTTGTTGTACAAGGATATAATCCCTACAAACTTGACTAAACATATCATCGAATTACAAAAGTTTTTTAGGAACCATCACCAACCTCATGGATGGTTAAAGGAGAAAGGGGGAGCCATGCCTCAAATCCCAAATGAAACGCGTTGGAATTCTTATGAAGATTGCTTAAAAACTTTTATATCAAATTACCATTTATACAATCAAATAAGAAGTGAGCATTTGGAGGATTTTAAAAGTTATGCAAATATTAACGCTATATTAAATAATGTAGCTTTATATTCGGAAGCAGTTGAGTTGGAAAAACAGTTGTCAATTTTATCAACTAGCTTAGATAAAATGCAGAGTGACCAAAGCTTTCTGACTGATGCTGTCGTTTGTTGGAACAACTTGCTATCAAATGAAAATTTTGCTAATAATAACAACCACAAAGAAAATATAAAAAAAATGTTTAAATAATGCATTGTAACCTATTCATTATATAGCATATTTAAGTCATCCAAAATATTTTGAAGAACCCCTCTCTGAGATGCAAGAAAATATGGCAGAAAACTGGATAAATGAAAATCATCCAGAAATGTTGCCATATTTTCTTGCTTTTAGAATAAAGGATCCTGAATATTTTCCTACATCGCTTTTTAAAGCTACAGTTATAGAAAAATTTTCGGCGGCAAAATGGTGGAAAATACTTAAAGTAAAAAATGAATCTACAAAAAAGTTACCAGAATCGTTTTGTAGTTTTTTTTTATAATTTGCATTGCTGCCCAGCTAGTGCAGCATCCATTGAAAGAATTTTTTCAAGTTACGGCCTTATATGGAGTAAATTAAGAAATCGTTTGGGATTCGAAAAAGCTTTGCAACTGGTCAAAGTTTATAGATTTTTACGAACCGATTCAAACGACTGGTAATAATACTTTTATTAACTAGTCTCTTAGAGGTGTTATTTTATTTATGTATTTTGTCATTTTCTTGTTCCTATTTTTGTTAGATTTTTGTTACGTTAATTTTTTTTGTTAGTTAACCTTAATTAAGGACTTAAGTTTTTTTATATTTATAAGAATATTGTATTATGTTTTATTTGTTTACAAAATAAAAAAATATAAAATATATACAAGGAGTTTAAGTTTATGAAAAAAATATCATTTAAAAAACCCACTTTTAAAAAAACCCTACGGGTTACCCACTGGGCAGCCAACCCTGCTTTGTTGGCAGACGTTGTTCGTTTCTCGAGTCCTTTATATTTCTTTAATTTTTGCTTACATTTTCAAGTTTTAACCTAAAAAATTCAACTAAATATTATTACTTACTTTTCTATTTCGGATTAACAGATTTGTTTGTTATAGTCGTTAGTCTTTGGTTTCCTTAGTACAGACCTTTTTCTTTTGTTTATAATTGTTAAATATAATTTGTTTCGTTTGTTTTTAAATGTCAAATTCGAATTGGCTTTGAAAGACCTTGGCTATTCAAGCATAGATGGCGCTTTCCCCTCGGAAAAGTTTATTTCGCTATATCGACGTTTATTTTTCTTTTGTCATGATAATTATATTTTGTTAAGGTTTCTTTTTGTTTTAAGTTGATGTTTAGCGGTTATAGTGGTTAGTAGACCATTATCGATCGTTAACGATTTCCCTTTTTTAAGTTGGTATTTGTTTTAGCGTATGCGCGATCCTTTAAAATTTCATATCCTGATTACGTATTTCCGTCCTCTTCCTTCTTCTTGCGAATGTCAATGGAGGCGGTGTGTCGCTTTGAAGCAGTTTTAAAGTTAAAGTTTCTGTATTGAAAATCCACTGCAAATGCCAATCATTTTGTGTAAAAGGATCTAGAAAAGTACGTCGATGAGTTCAACGTTGGCGCGAACTCTAGAAGCCTTTAGTTTTACGCATCGGCATGGCGACCATTAACCTTTAAAACTGGTGAGTTTTCCAACTTTATCTAAGTCATCGGTCTTTAATGTTGATCGTTTATTGTTCCATGCAGTCCTGGAACGACACACCTATGCCTGAATAAGAATATTACCGAATTTTGACGATTATACCCAGATTTGACACTTCTATCCCTCTCCTGCGCGATGACAGGAATGACGTTTTGTCTAAGCCGGATTGTGTAAATCCGTAAGTACATGAAGGTTTTGTTTGAAACAATACCCAGGATTTTTCTCTTTTAGGGCTTCTACCTTAGGATTTTACCTTAAGATTGTATCTTAAGATTTTACCTGCAGATTTGACTTTACTTGATGAGGGTTAGGTTTTTCCTATACCGGACAAATTTCTTCGATACCTTGGCCTGAAGCCACATCCCCAATTTTGACCATCAACAACATTTCACCACCGTTTGCCAACAACAACATTTTACTGCACAGATGTCACCGCTGCATGAACTGAACAAGGAATAGAACCTTAAGTACCATTTTGTTAATTATTTTGTGTCGGACATAAGAGCCGTTTAACCGGTTCTTTGTGAACCACAGATAGCTTCTTCGGTATATTAACCCTTGTATTTGCAAATTTGGACAAACGCATAAAACCCATTTTACAATTGATAAAATTAAATCTCAACGTTATTAAAACCAGTTAAAGTTCAATCACCTTTTTTTTAAATATAACATAACCTTTTTTAGTGCAGTCAGACGTTAGATTTAGTGATCAATCTAACCTTTTAAAATACTTTTAAATGATCACTTGGCGCCCACAAGGTAAGTTGCTGTTGACTTTTTAAAACCATATGGACCCACTAAACCCAGCTCTCCGCAAGGTTTATAACATGAGTAGCCGTTCGCAAAAAATAGGTACCAACAAAAACCTTAACGCCACAACTCTTGAGGTACGACCTCCCAGAGCATAACAAAAAAGGGGGTGTTGATACTTTGGATCAACTCTTGTTCGCGTTGCACAAAAATAAGGCCAATGAAAGTATTTTTCAACATTGTTAACATTGCTGCAAATATGCAATGCAATGCAAATATAATTTGGAAATCCAGAAAAGAACAACCTAATGAACCACGACGCAAATTTCTTCTTTTACTAGGAAAAGAACTTGTACTTCCATGGATGAGGAAACGGGCTGAAAATACCACTGGATTGCACTGGTAATAAACCATTTAATAAATTATATTATAGATATAGATGTTATAAATAAATAACAATAATGTTGTTTAAATAACGGTCTAATTTATTTAGTACTATAAGTCTTTATTCGAAACTATAACTTTACTCTAACTCTAACAATTTCAACCGATCGTTTTCATAGTGTCAGACTCACTGACGTTAAAACTAATGTGTCTACGTAGGACCTCATTTGCTTATCTTCTCTTGCCCTTGGTATGCTCTTAAGTACCTTTACGCTAACACGGCCATCCTGTTATCGGAGCGACCTTGCACCGCAATACTGACCATCATCACAAAATGGCAAACTGTTCTAATGCAATTTGTACGGTTGCAGTCTTAATAGCTGAACCTTCTTTTGCGTTTGTGGCCGACTTGTACACACTCGTAGCATTTGCCTAGGAGTTCAGGAAACCACAGAAAACTGAACTCTACGAGCGGGGTAGATTCTAAAAAATACAAAAAGGAAGAAACAACGTTTTTTTATAAGCTGTGGGGTTGCCATCAGCCCTTAATTTAATTGTGGGATTGCCACAGCTACACTTTTGTTTGGAACTGTGAGATTGCCACTAATTTTTAATTTAATTGTGGAATCGCCACAACTACATTTTTGTTTTAAATTGTGGGATTTCCACTAATTTTCAACTAAATTGCGGAATCGCTACATCTACATTTTTGTTTTAAATTGTGGGATTGCCACTAATTATCAACTAAATTGTGGGATCGCCACGGCTACATTTTTGTTCTAAATTGTGGGAGTGCCACTAATTTTCAACTAAATTGTGGGATCGCTACGGCTACATTTTTGTTTTAAATTGTGGGATTGCCACTAATTTTTTAACTAAATTGTAGGATTTCCACAGATAAATTTTTCTTCTAAATTGTGGGATTGCCACTAATTTTTTATCTAAATTGTGGGATTGCCACGGCTACATTTTTTGTTTTAAATTGTGAGACTCCCACTAATTTTTAACTAAATTGTGGGATTACCACAGCTTCATTTTTTTGTTTTAAGACTCCGTTAGGCGCAACGTATCTGTGAGATACACGAAGATCTATTTCACACTTCATATCTATAATTTAAATGTGGTGGGGATACGACTCCTAGTAGCTTCATAATACGGTGCCCTGCAGTGGTCAGCATACTAAGGGAGTTGAATTTGTGCGTATGTCTTCTACAACCCTATCGAATATCTGACAGATACATTGCGACAAATCAAGTACAGGATGTCCCACGAGAAATTTCGTTTTTAAATTTAAAATAACTCGAAATCCGACTGCGCGATTTTAAAATTTAAGTGCATGTAACGAAGCTTGTTTTTTGGGAATTTAGTTGATATGGATGGCTTTACAGGTGCAGACCGCGCTCTTTGCGTAAAAGCGCATTACGAGAATAACCGTTCTTTGATAGCAGCGCGACGGTTTTTTAGTGGTTATCATGGCCTTAGATACATAAATCGTGCTCCATCTGTAAAATTAATCAAGTGTTGGGTGACGAAATTCGAGGACAGGTTCCACAGCACCAACAATAAATAAAGGCCCCCGTAAAACAGCAAGAACGCCGGAAAACAGCGAACGGATGCCAGAGGCTGTTTTGACTAATCCACGACGTTCGGTTCGAAAACATGCCGCTGCATTGCGTTTAACAAAATCAAGTGTACACCGAATCTTGAAAAATGATCTTAAATTGCACCCGTACAAAATTCAACTTGTTCAAGAGTTGAAAGAACATTATTTCCAGGTCAGAATGGAAGCAGCGCGCGTTTTTTTTTAGACCAATTCGAAGATTTTAACAACTTGATCTTTTCTGACGAAGCACATTTCCACCTCCAGGGTTACGCTAACAAACAAAACTGACGATAATGGTGTGATGATAATCCTCGAGAAAAACATCAAAATCCGCTGCTTTCCCCAAAAGTGACAGTTTGGGAGGCTCTTGGAATAAATGGAATAATCGGTCCTTACTTTTTCGAAGACGGGCGCGGTAGAACAGTTACAGTCAACTGAGAACGGTACCTAGGCATGATAAACAACTTTCTGGTGCCTTCTCTTTGTCAGCTAGGGTTGAACGAGGGTCAGGAAATATGGTTCATACCGCAAATAACGTTATGGAACGGCTTCGTCAAATTTTTCCTGATCGCATCATTTCAAAGAGAGGTACACTAAATTGGCCACCCCGCAGCCTGGATCTGACTCATCTGACTCCTTTGGATTTCTTCCTTTGGGGTTATCTTAAATCTAAAGTGTACGAGGATTCGCCAAGAAATTTAAGAGCATTGAAGGAAAATATTACCCGAGAAATTCGTGAGATTACTTCTGATGTGCTTTCACGTATGATGATCAATTTAAGAGGTC